TACTTATTAGTCAATACTAAAGATATTCCACTTCAAAGGCTAGAAACTAATTCTCCACTTTCCATTCCAAACTAAGCACAGTCACAATGCCCAACAGAGTGTATCAGAGGTTCCACATGAGACTGAATGAATATATTGATATATAATAAATAATAAAAACTGAAAATAGGGAATTTTTATCAAATGTGAATGTAAATCTTTCCTCATTATCAAATTCCTGGAAAGAAATTAAAGTCTAAAGATAAAATCTTTTTGCAAATTTTGTAAACCAGGGACAATTAAGTACAAAGGAATTAAAATTCCAAATTAAAATTTTTTGTTCTTTTGAACTCAAAGTTTGAAGTTAAAATTTTTTCAGGTCCCAAACTCATCCTCTCAAATTTCTTTTTTTTTTTAGTTTTAGCCAGAGACTATGATTGAGTGGGACTGAGGTTCCTTCTATAGCCATGGTTTCAGCTGGCTGTCATGTAGGGAGTATGCTTTCTTTAGAATTTCAGAAATAATACCTGTTCAGAGCCATGTCTTTCCTGGGTCTCTCATTTTAAAAAGTTCAAAGTGTCCACAGACCCTATAATAGCCACAAATTTAGGAAAGGAGATTTCTCTATCCCAAGAGCAAGAGATGAGGGAAAGCCAGACCACTCTGCTTTATCTCCACTCAGGAGATGGGGAGTGCATGAATCCTTGAGCACAGAGCTCCAGGCTGGAGAAACCCACTGTCAAGAAAACCCACATTCACGGCTACATGCAAAAGAATGAGACTGGACACTTCCTTGCATCATTAAGCACCAAATGCTTAAATGTAAGACCTGAAACCATAAAAACTCCAAGAAAATATGTCAGTCTTAGCAATATTTTTCCAGATCTGTCTCCTCAAGCAAGGGAAATGGAAACAAAAATAAACTATTGGGAATATATCAACCTAAAAAGCTTTTTTGCAAAGTGAATGAAACCATGAAAATGAACAGACAATCTACTGAATGGGAAATGTTTGCAAATGACATATACAATAAGGGGTTAACATCTAAAATATATAAAGAACTCATAAGATTCAACGCCAGGGAAAGCAAACAATGATTTTAAAAATGGGCAGAGGACCTAAATAGACATTTTTCTAAAGAAGACATACAGATAGCCAACAGACACATGAAAAGATGCTCAACATCATTAACTATCAGGGGAATGTAAATCAAAACCACAATGAGATTTCACCTCACACCACTTAGAAGAGCTAGTATCAAAAAGACAGTAACAGACAATAACAAAAAATGTTGAGGCTATGGAGAAAGGGAACTCTTAAACACTATTGGCAGAAATGTAAACTGGTGCTGCTACTATGAAAAACAGTATGGAGGTTCTTCAAAAAGTTAAAAATATAAACCATCCGGTAATTCAACTTCTGGGTATTTACCCCAAGAAAATGAAAGCACTAATTCAAAAAGACATATGCACCCCTATGTTCACTGCAGCATTATACATAGTAGCCAAAATGTGGAATCAAACTAAGTAGTCCATTGATAAATATATGTGATGTAATATTACTCATATAATGTATAAAAAAGAATGAAATCTTTCCATTTCCAACAACATGGATAGGCCTAGAGAGTATAATGCTAAGCAAAACAAGCCAGTCAAAGAAATATAAATACCATATGATTTCATTTAAGTATGGAATCTAAAAACAAATGAACAAACAACAAAAAAAGAGAAACAGAATGATAAATAAGATAATAAACTGGTGGCTGCTAGAGGGGTGGGGTGGGGAGATGGGTGAAATAGGTGAAGGAGATTAAGTGGTACAAATTCCAGTTAAAAAATAAATGAGTCATGAGAATGAAAACTACACATAGGGAATATAGTTAATAATAATATAGTAACTTTGTATGGTGACTCATAGTAACAACAATTACTGTGGTGAGCATTTTCTAATGTATATAATTGTCAAATCACTAAGTTGTACCCTTTTCTTTTTTCCCCAGTATGATCCATGCTCAACGTGGGGCTCAAACTCACAACCCTGGTATCAAGAATCGCATGCTCTACCGATTGATCAAGCCAAGCACCCTGCTATGTTGTACTCTCAAAACTAATATTTATGTCGATCATATTTCAATTTAAAAAACTCCCACACTCAATCACCATTTACTTCTCAAAACAGCCCTGGTGGTCATGTGTTCCCCCTTTGCCTCTGTATTTGTAAGAGTTTTACCAGGGAAATAGAGCCAACAGAATACAGAGAGATGTAAACAGATATAGATACAGATTTAGATACAGACGAGGAGATTTATAATAGGAATTGACGGGATCCCTGGGTGGCGCAGCGGTTTAGCGCCTGCCTTTGGCCCAGGGCGTGATCCTGGAGACCCAGGATCGAATCCCACGTCGGGCTCCCGGTGCATGAAGCCTGCTTCTCCCTCTGCCTATGTCTCTGCCTCTCTCTCCCTCTGTGTGACTATCATAAATAAATAAAAGAAAATTAAAAAAAAAAGTTTAAAAAAAGGAATTGGCTCACTGTAGTTATGGAGGCTGTCCCATGATCTGTCACGTGCAAGCTGGAGAACCAGGAAAGCAGTTTATATTTAGTTCCAGGCCTGAGAATCATAGGGCTGCTGATGTAAGTTCCAGAGTCTGAAGGCTGGAGAACCAGGAGTTCCAACATCTGATATCCAGAGGCAGAAGATGGATGTCCTAGCCCCAGATGAGACAGAGAGACTGACAGAGAGACACACACAGAGAAAATTCTCAAAAACAACTGAATGATACCTGCCCACATAATCAAGGTGGAACTTCTTTACTCAGTCCACTGATTCGGATACTAATCTCTTCCTCAAACGGCCTCACAGATGCACCCAGCAACAATGTCTGGTCAGCTCTCTGGGTATGCCTTAGCTCAGCCAAGTTGACAAATAAAAATAACTGTCAGAGCCTCCTATGGAGACACAGCATGGGAGGATACTCCTTGGCTGTACTTCCCCAACTCTGAAGTTTCTAAGCATCTGCCCAAGGTCACTTAGTCCCCTTATTTGTCTGCTCCTCTCATATGCACAGGACTTCATCTTAAAATTAACCTAATTTTAATCCTGAGGACACCTGGACACTGGGCTGCTGGTAAAGGCTTAACAACTGGCTGGGGTTTTTTTTAGGGGGGGGAGGGCTTGATTTGTAGAGTTGGCTGATCTTAGTGGCATAAGTACTCCCACCAGGGCCAATTTCAAGCTGCCAACTGAAAGTGAAGTTGAGAGGAGATATGCAGTAGCATAATATTATATAATGTTTCCACCATACAAGTATAATATATATAAATAACATCAGGGATATAGAAAATTACAAATTGTAGTAAAATAATCAGGAAGTGTTGACTTTTGAGTATTATAAAGAAAACTGACTTTTTAAATTTTTACGTTGTTTTAGATTCACCAGAAGTTGCAAAATAGAGCAGGGAGGTTCTAGGTATCCATCACCTAGTTTCCCTCAATGGTATTACCTTTTTTTTTTCTCAATGTTATTATCTTATATGATGATAATATATTATGAAAGTCAGGAAATTGAGATTATAATTCCTTTGATTTTTTTGAAATTTTACTTTTTTTTTCTTTTAAAGAGGGAGAGAGAGCACACATGTGAGCGGGAGAGATGGAGGGAAAGGGAGAGGGAATCTTAAGCAGGCTCCATGCTCAGCACAGAGCCCATGGGACTCAATAGCAGGATCCTGAGATTGTGACCTAAGCTGATATCAAGGGTTGAGGTTACCCTAAATTTTACTTTTAACTGTGGTAAAATACATGTAACACAAAATTTACTATCTTAATCATTTTTCAGTGTACAGTTCAATATTACTGTTTATTTACAATGCTGTGAAAGTAACTCCAGAATTTTTACCTTGCAAAAAACTGGAACTCTATACTTACTAACTCCCCACTCCTCCTATCCTCAACTCCTGGCAACCACCATTCTGTTTCCTGTGTCTATGAATTTGACTACTTTTGGTATCTCATATAAATAGAATCATAGAGTATTTGTCTTTTTGTATCTCACTTATTTTGTGTCTGACTTAGCATAATGTCCTTAAGATTCATGCATGTTTTAGCTTGTGTTAAAATATACTTCCTTTTTAAGGCTGAATAGAATTCCAATGTGTATTTCCAGGGAATCATCCCTGGAAGTTTTGTGGACTGCTTTAGTTTCCTGAATGCCTAACATACAGTTAGAGAATTTCTGCTTAGATTGCAAATTGGGAGAATGGGCCTTAGGAAGTACTCAAGTGGAGCCAAGGAGGCTTTAACATAGTTGTGTTTTGTTAGTACACTGTTAATTTTCCAAAAAAGAGTGTTTCTTTTTTTGCTGTAAACCATATTATATTTATATAAAAGCCAAAAACAATATGATGAAGCATGAAAACACACAAATTTCAGAGAGTAGCTTTTTTTTTTTTGTGAGTCTGGTCAATTTTACACAATGAAACACTATTAAGAAATATAGAGAATATAATATGAACTATAATATAAAAATATAAGACACGTAGTAATACTTTTAAGAAAAGTGAAATAATAACTGTAAGAGACAACTTAATACCACAAAAACTTTAAATGTCATATGTTAAAAGTAACTTTTTTCTTAGTATTATGCAGCAGGTCTTGGGATGTAGGGATATAGGCAAATAAAAAAGGAGGTTTATAGGAATAAACTTTCTCAATACTATTTGTCTGATTTCATATATAAAATGTCAGACATTATAAGAAATAATATAAATGTCTAAGACTAAATGTCTAATTATATTTTCAAATATAAGGTAGTTTTTTAAAAAGCAGAAGTTTTACATTTTTTTAATAAGCTAGTAATAGCACCCATAAATAAAAATTACAAGACATTGAGTAAAACAACTTTACCATGAAAAGATAAATATAATTTAAAGACAAAGCACCTTTCTTTGACTTCAATAGGAAATGTGGGCAAAGGCCCTCATCTCCAAATAATCCCATCTGAGTACACTCAGGCTTGTTTTATTTAACAAGGAGAATTTAAGCTCAAATTTTGAAATCATTATGTTCACACAAGGTCCTGTGTCATCATGAACCTAGTTCTTTTTTGAGAGTGTAGTATTCAATTAGAAGTTGTAGTAAGCCATTTACATGGTACAGTTATACTTTTGATGAGTGCTATTCATAAACATTAGCCATGTATTTAGGGAACTCATTACATTTCATTTAGGTGACACATTTAAAAATTCATAGTTTTAAAAAAATACTTTATTTATTTATTCATGAGAGACACACACATAGAGAGAGAGAGAGGCAGAGACACAGGCAGAGGGAGAAGCAGGCTCCATGCAGGGAGCCCGACGCGGGAACCCAAGTCTCAGGGATCACATCCTGGGCTGAAGGCGGCGATAAACTGCTGAGCCACCCGGGATGCCCTAAAAATTCATATATCTGATAGGAAGTTGTAATTAAGCTCCATTTCTCTGCAGGGTAGAAGCTGAGAAATGTGTTTGCTTATGACTTGGTATTTTTGCCAATTATTTAGTAAGATTAAAAGTGTGTGTGTTCCTGTGTTTTTTTTTTTTTTTTTTTTTTTTTTTTTGCCAATTACACAGCACGCACCACCCAATGACATCTGAACATTTACTTATCGAATAAATTTATCTTGAGATTCCTTCCACGTAGTCTGCCAATGTGTTATTTCTCCTTAGGGAATAGACTTTGCTTCCTGTACAATAAGCATCAATTAGGTCTTGGGCAGGAAGTCCTACATGCAAGAATATCATTTTGGTGTATTAGATAAAAACCTTAGAGACATATTTTAGCGATAAATAAAGTTGTGTGTGTGTGTGTGTGTGTGTGTGTGTGTGTCTGTGGTTTTTTTTTTTCCTTGCACTGTTTGCAAGAGAGTCCAGGTTTCAGGAGTAATGGCTCACTAAATTGAGAGAACAAACCAGTTGTAGCTCAGTATATATGGCAGTCAACAATTCGACGCAGATGGCATTTAGTTCAGTTTTGATTTAAAAAAAAGAAAGATGCTTGTGTTTTGGCAAAGAAAACCAGGGTGTGCCTGTTATTCTTGGCTTATCACGGAATGCAAGGATTTTAGGAATCTCACTCTTTTTTTGCAGATAATGTATGTGACAGAGTCTACCCTTGACCACACTTTAGTCAGGTTCATTGGAACTCTTTCTTCATCTGGTCCTGATTTTTGGACTTCTGTGTCTTTCTCTGCATTACCTAATTTTAGCAAGAATCCTGTCAAGTTGGTTTAGGCAGACTCTCCCACCTTCCATAGCTGATCACCCTCGATATCTGTTTGGGTTCCTCATCCTCCACTGTTCCCCAGATGGTCCCATCACTCTGGCCTGCCTCCAGCAAGTATCCTGTTAGATGGGCTTAGCCAGAATCTTCTCTTACCCCTGATATTTCCTCTTAATAATTCTCCATTCACCCAACCCACGTCCTCCCACCCAACCTTGATCATTGGCAATACATTTCCACTTTTCCTTGCTGTATTTGGAGTTGAGCCTGATTTCTCTCCCCACCTACAGAACTCCTTTGTAGCAGCCCCCTTTGAATAGATTTCTTTACCATCTTGAAAATGTGATTGCATTTTTTTTTCTTTTAGCATATGAACACTTAGCTGAATGGTGAGCAGAGTTGGGTTAAGGATAGGATGTGTTTTTGTTTCTTAGATGGCTGAAATGTATTACTAAACTTTTGGAGGAAAATGCTGATTCTAATTATAAGTGTTTTATAAAGACATGTGTGCACAGGCACACACACCCTGCTTTGACTATGAGAACCTTATCACCTGTGGTAGAATTTGGATTATCAGCTTATCTCTGGGGTCATCAGAGATAGAGCAGCAGGTGGGAAAAGCAGACAAAGATTGAGGCTCCTGGCCTTAACCATACTTCTAAAAACTCTTAAAGTTCCTCCCATGCCCCATTGTTCTCAGTGTTTTACTTCATTTTTTTAACTACATGAAATTCCACAAAATGAAAATTAACTTGGGGGCACCTGGGTAGCTCAGTGGTTGAGCATCTGCCTTTTGCTCAGGTCATAATCCCAGGGTCCTAGGATCGAGTCCGGCATTGGGTTTCCTGCAGGGAGCCTGCTTCTCCCTCTGCCTATGTCTCTGCCTCTCTCTGTGTGTCTCTCATGAATAAATAGAATCTTTAAAAAAATGAAAATAACTTATATTAGTGAGTATCATCACTAAAAATATGAAAAATCTAGAGGGCTCAATAACTACTCAGTCATTTATAGTTAGGGTGAGTGAATCCTCTTCTTGAGTCACATGGGGCTCTCCTCCTGGGATAATCTATTCAGCTACATCAGAGATTATACGTGAAATTCATGAATTAATGCACATTATAAAAGTGTCAAACAAGGGGTGCCTGGGTGGGTCAGCCATTTAGGTGTTTGCTTTTGGCTCAGGTCATGATTCAGAAGTCCGGGGTTGCACCCTGCACCTGTAGGGCTCTCTGCTCAGTGGGGTGGGGGGAGGGTGTCTATCTCTCCCTCTGTCCCTCACCCTGCTCTCATTCTCTCTCACTTTCTTTCTCTTTTTCAAATAAATAAATAAAATATTTTTAAAAGTGTCTACTTGGGTATATATGGAGTAAAAAATACAATCCACTCATCTCAATTCCTTCTCACTTCAAGTTCTAAGCATATATATACACATATGTTTTTCACTGAACAATATATCTTAAAGATCTTTCTATACCAGTGTACAATGATTAGTTAAAATTTAAACAAATTGCTGCGTGGTATCATGTTAGGTGGACAAAAAATTATTCAGCAGAAGTTCAGCTTTGGTTAAAATAAGAAAAAAAAAAGAAACTTTCCAAATCTCAATGGTAAAGAAATATCAAGGGGGAAAAAAAAAGAGGAAGAAGGTACTTATAAGGTTAATTTCTAAAAAGAAGGAAGTGCACTTAGAATTGGTTATCTCAAAAACACAGCAGACAGGGATCCCTGGGTGGCGCAGCGGTTTGGCGCCTGCCTTTGGCCCAGGGCGCGATCCTGGAGACCCGGGATCGAATCCCACATCGGGCTCCCGGTGCATGGAGCCTGCTTCTCCCTCTGCCTGTGTCTCTGCCTCTCTCTCTCTCTCTCTCTCTGTGTGACTATCATAAATAAATAAAAATTAAAAAAAAAAAGCCCAACTCTGGTTTAAAAAAAAAAAAAAAGAACACAGCAGACAAAACCTGAAGCTAAGACAAAGTTCTTAGAAGGTTGATTTTGATGTTCTTTTCCTGCAAACACAATTATACTATGTTTTAAATTTTTGTGATAACCAGCTACTAAAGGTTATAACCTGTAAATTTATGAAAATACAAAAAAGGCTCTTTACAGGAAATTGTAATTTGCTCTAGGGAATTGTATTTGTTCAGGAAATTAAAAATTTTCACAAGCCTCTGATAATTAATCCATTAATATCATCTGATTCACCTTATTTTTTTAAAGATTTATTTATTTATTTGAGAGAGACAGAGAGAGACAGAGAAAGAGAGGAGGCGCAGAGGGAGAGCAGCTTAGGCAGACTTTGCAATGAGTGTGGAGCCTGATGTGGGGTTCAATCTCAAGACCCTGAAGTCATGACCTGAGCCAAAATGAAGAGTCAGAGGGTTAACCAACTAAGCCACCCAAGCGTCCCTACGATCTCACTCATTGATATATAAATTATGTAAATTCTCCTGCTATGTAATGGAAAATAAGTAGGCTCAAAATTGTAGATAACTTTCCTTTCTTGTAGTTGAACAAATTAAAAAATTTGGCATCGTGAATAGACATACTTCCCAAAACAAAACAAAGAATTTCATTCTTTAACGGGAGTATGAGAGCACCGTAACATACGATGGTATTGTTGTTCTCTAACTGATGACCATTTAGGTTGATTTCTATATTTAACTATTACAACATCTGTGACAAACATCTTTGTATAAGTGTTTGCAAATATGTGCAAATATGCACCAATAGAAGAGAGGTCTAGATTTGGAATTTCATGTCAAAACATATGTGCATATTATATTTTGAAAGAAATAATCTTCTTTAAAGGTCGCGTATTTCTAGCAGTATCTAAGAATATCTTTTATGGATTTTGTGGGAGCGAAGCGGTCGCGGGGCTGCTCCAGTTTTCCTGTCGGGCTTCCCAGCCGCGGGGATCCTGCACGCCCCCGACGCCGGCTGGGGCAACCTGGTGCACGTGGTCAACTACCCCAAAGATAACAAAAGAAAAATGGATGAGACAGATGCTTCTTCAGCCGTGAAAGTGAAAAGAGCTGTCCAGAAAACTTCTGATTTAATAGTGTTGGGTCTTCCATGGAAAACGACTGAACGGGATCTAAAAGAATATTTTAGTACCTTTGGAGAAGTTCTTATGGTTCAGGTCAAGAAAGATATTAAAACTGGGCATTCAAAGGGGTTTGGCTTTGTTTCGTTTTACGGAGTATGAAACCCAGGTTAGAGTACTGTCACCGCGACATATGATAGATGGACGGTGGTGGGATTGTAAACTTCCTAATTCCAAGCAAAGCCCAGATGAGCCTCTGAGAAGTAGGAAGGTGTTTGCTGGGCGCTGTACGGAGGACATGACGGCCGAGGAGCCGCGGCAGTTCTTCTGCCAGGACGGAGAAGTGGTAGACGTCTTCATCCTCAAACCGTTCAGGGCCTTTGCCTTTGTTACGTTTGCAGATGATCAGCTTGCCCAGCCTCTTTGTGGAGAGGACTTGATCATTAAAGGAATCGGCGTACATATATCCAATGCCGAACCTAAGCACAATAGCAATAGACAGAACGAAGTGGAAGATTTGGTGGTAATCCAGGTGGCTTTGGGAATCAGGGTGGATTTGGTAACGGTAGAGGGGGTGGAGCTGGTTTGGGAAACAATCAAGGTAGTAATATGGGTGGAGGGATGAACTTTGGTGCTTTTAGCATTAATCCAGCTATGATGGCTGCGGCCCAGGCAGCGCTGCAGAGCAGCTGGGGCATGATGGGCCTGTTAGCCAGTCAGCAGAACCAGTCAGGCCCATCAGGTAAACAACCAAAGCCAAGGCAACATGCAGAGGGGGCCAAATCAGGCC